ACAACTTTATAGTTTTAACATACTTTTTACAAACAATATTTACAACACATATTCATGTCATATCTAATTGTTTAGTAACCAGTCAACTGTATAAATACAATGCAAACATCTTTCATTTAAGACACAACAGTCTTTTGTTGCCTTTCACACCGTCACACCTCTGTTCAATTTATACCAAAGTAAATAACAACTTTTTATGGTGCTAACAATATCACTTTTTTCACTTGAAATGGGATTATTTAAAATAGAAGAAATTAATTAGTGTTTATTTTGCTACTTTACTAGTAAATACAAAGTAATAAAAGATTTTTAATAAGAATATTTTAGGGTAAAGAGTTAATGAGTCTGTTTATCTTAATTTAATTTTTACTTAAAGTCTTTGGTGCTTTTTATGATGAATGCTATGTTAACATTTGAAGAAATATTGCAGCAAATTATCTTTAGATTTGATAGTATTAACTCAGCAAATTATCTTTAGATTTGATAATATAGTTAATGTAATTTACAGCTTTATTTTATGAGAAAAATTGATGCTATTTTTAATTTTTATCAAAACCAAAATTACTGGGTAATGCAGTAGTAGTACCACGTTTTAAGACAGTAATGCAGTACCAGTACCAGTAGTAGCAAAATTTTGTAAGAGTAATTCAGTATCAGTACCAGTTCTTGCAAAATCGCTGCAGTACGTACTGCAGTACCAGTACCAGTACCAGTAATGCAGCTCTGATCATAATTATGTAATTTAAAAACTATTAGAAATGAAACAACGATTTATCAACTCATGTTTCAAATAATTTAAAGAAATAATAACAAATCTGTTTATGAAAACTACAAAAAGGCATGTCTAATGTACGAACTTGCAACAACGTGGTCACAATTCCGTCTTATTACCTACCACTAGGGCATCGAACCGTTTTTATTGATTTAATTAATATCGAGATCTATACTATTACCCTAAGCATAAATCGTAATATATCACGAAACCTACGACCACCCCTACTCGAACATGAATGAGTCACATGTCAATATTGTCAAACAATACCTACAAAAAGCTCGAATTCGCTATTCCTTACATTATCTGTTTACATCAATATTGGCAAATAGAGGTGTCGATAATTCTTATATAAAAGTGTACCATTTATCGCCAAATTGTTTTAGCAACTTATCAATCACACTTTTTATGCGTTTTACAAAATAGAGTTATGGTAGAGTGTTCGCTCTGTTAGTGTAGATACTCTGGTTGTAGTCCTGGAAAAGCCAATTTTTCTTTTCTTTTATAAATAAATAATTGTTTTTTTTTTTGTTGTTGTTTTTTTTTTGGGGGCGGTTATTTAAAATAAAACGAACTGGATTTTGGTTCTGCGTGAATTTTATTCACACAATGCTATTGGAGATCATTAAGTTGTACACACATTCGCATTCAACAGGTTAAGTATAAGACAACACAGTCGTAATTATAAAAGAGAAATTGAAAAGTTACGTGACAAACTATGTATATTCTGAAAATAAATCCCATACTTAAAAATGTGCACCATTGCAGATTTGAACTCGGAAAACCATGATTATACTGTGTGCATTTCTTTTCTATAGTTATGTGTATGTGTCTTTATTTAGTCTTTAGAAAATAACGTGAGTATAAAAAACACTCTAACTGGAAACGTACTTATATTTCGAAACTTTGTCTGTGCAGGGATAGAAAACATTTCACACAAATACACGTATATTCAATTGTAACTTACATAAATTTACAGCCACTTACGTATTTCCTTGCACTTTCGATTCTCACGTAGATAACGGCTGAAGGAGTACTTTTACGAGGAAACAGTTACAAATGAACAAAAGTATAATGGTAAACCTTTCTTTAATAAAAACTATCTACATGTACATTTATTCCCAAACAAGTCCGTGATGAATATCTTGACTTTTATATTAGGCAATACACCAGGAAATTCTCCAATCATCAAACATATCTAGATATTTAAATATCACTTAGGAAGAATTATCCAGTCTTTAGTCGTTAGCAAATGACAGGGATATTGTTATGAAAAAGGCAGACAAATCGGCTAACATTGTCATAATGAACAACGAAGAATGAACAGGAAGTGAACAGACATCTTAGCAACGATAATTATTAACAGAAACTAGATGGCGACATTGCAGAAACAGTTCAGAAGAATGTCCGTGACTGTATAGATATTATTTTCGAAACCGAAGAATTTGTAGGGGAGAAGTTTGACATTTTTCCCGAAAAAAATACGTACTCCGCAATTTTATATTCTACCAAAGCTACATAAAAATATAGATAACTCGTTGCCATTAGGATATCGAGGTAGGCCTATAGTATCCGCATGTAGTTCCCCTACCGATAACATATCCAAATTCCCAGACTATATACTCTAACCACATGTGTTAACCTTGCCTTCGTATATGAAAGATACCACTGATTTTCTTACGAAAATTAAGAATTGTAGTCAATCATCCAACAGTTATTTGGTAACTATGGATGTTTGCTCTCTCTATATCAATATCCACCATGACGAAGGTACCGACGCCTGCCGGTCATTCTTGAATCGTAATACCGGTAACTCTAACACCAGTCTGTCGCTCAATAGTATTTGTAAACTTATAGAGATTACACTTAAGAATAATCATTTTAAGTTCAACAATGAAAATAAAATCCAAACCATGGGAACAGCTATGGGTAGTCCATTTGCCCCAGCTTATCTTTTTTTCATGGGTTAATTTGAACAAGACTTTTTACAGACACGCCAACTTAAACCTACCCTATGGTTACGGTTCCTGGACGACATATTCATGATCTTGGATCATTCTTTGGATGATAGATTAAACAGCTCCATTAAATTCACTTATGACATTTCTCTGGATCATATTTCATTTCTGGATGTCGATGTTATTAAAGACAACAGGAACAATATTTGTACCAATGTCCATGTTAAAAATACCAACATCCACCAATACCTGGATTAATCGTCCAATCATCCCAAAACATGTAAAAATGGTATTCCATACAGTCAGACTAAGCGCTATCGTCGTATTATATCGGACGATGACAAGTTTGCTAAGTCACTGGACAGTCTCCGTGAATTTTTCATTTCTAGAGGTTACCCTGATAAGGTTATTGATGACGCATTCGGTAAAGTACGTGATGTATCTCAAGATGAAGCCCTTGTATACAAAAATAACTCCTCTGATGAAAAGAGTGTACCTTTTGTTATTGAATATAGTCCGTCTCTTCCCCATATTGGCAGTATCGTAAAAAATACTGGTATTTATTTAAGCTATTGCCAAATGCGTCAGTCCAACATTCGCACGAATACAGACTCGTGTTAGCCTATCAGCGTGGTAAAACTCTCAAAGATTTCTTAGTCAGGTCTACATATCCCACAAAATTCCCTGGCCCTGTCAACGCCCATTCTAGCAATTGCTCCAGGTCTAGATGTTCACATTGTACCAGGATCGTAGAAACTGATAAATTCGAAAAAATTTCTAATGCTCCTACATATCGTCTTAAATTTAATACAGATTGTACATCTAATAATGTAATTTATTTAATCTCTTGTAAAAACTGCAACATGCCATATGTGGGACAAACTAGACAACAAGTGTCCAAAAGAATGAATAGTCACAGATTTAACATTAGGATTCTCAGTGACCCTGTGTATGCCAGTGGTGTTGCAACATATTTCAACACTACAGACCACGGTGTGGAAGACTTCAGCTTTTTACCTATTGACATTGTTGACAATGATATGGACAGACTCGTCCGTGAAACAGCTTGGATCTGGCATGGACACCAGTGTATTGTTCAAATTTTAATTTTTAGTTGGCAATTATAAGTATATAGCAACTCTTTCAAAACTTTCTCCATGCATTCTTAATGTTTTGTCTTATTATCATCTTACTCTTTTTCTTCATTATTTTCACTTATTTATATCATTTTATTTCAAAAAAATATTTCATTATTCTATGCAAATTGTCTATTCTTGTAATTTTTGCTGTTTTTATTACGTCCCTTTATTTTTGAAAAAATATTTTTCCCCATTCTATTTTATGTTTTTTATCTAACAAATTAGTTTTACATATTTTTTTATTCATTTACTCATTTATTCTTTTTATTATTATTTATTATTATCATTATTAGATCTATTATTATTATTATTATTATTATTATTACTATTATTATTATTATTATTATTATTAGTGTTGGTGATAATGATGATGATGTTGATGATAATATGTAATGGATAATGTTGTTATTATTATTAATATTATTATCTTTTTTATTATTCTAGATAACTTGCTGGCTAATTAAAGTAATGCTTTCTCGCTAATTCCCAGCGAATGTATATATAAAATTATATGATATATTTTGACATATAGGTATGTTGGGTTTTATCATTTTTCTCTGCTTTATATTGTAGAAATATAGTTCTATTATTAATACCCGATGTTTCTTTTTTATCCATATATATTTATTAATTACTTTACATTCACGTTTTTGCGCAAATTGTCACGTTGACGTTGGCGTTCTAACGGACGTGACGTCAAATACTTTGTACGTTATTCTGATAAAGGCAACAGTCGAAACTAGTAAAGATTTAAGAAATATGTGTTGTTTTGGTGTATTTTAACTGATTTGCATTTTAGACATATCTCATTAATATCATATACTAGCTGATGCTCCATATTTTTAGCAAAGAATGTAAGAGCGGAACGAATGGATTATTCCAGTGAGATTACATTTCATATTAGAACTAATATAAGATGAATGTCAAAATCGTTTTAATGTTATCATCTAGAAACTATGATTATGTATATCACATAATTTAAAAATACTTGATCATGATTAGAACTAATATAAGATGAATGTCAAAATCGTTTTAATGTTATCATCTAGAAACTATGATTTTGTTTATCACATAATTTAAAAATAATTGATCATGATGGAAATGCAAATTCTATTTCAACATTAAAATTACCTCCCTGTAGTATCCTTTGATTTGTATGATTTAACTTCTGCTATCAGTCTGAAATTTTGAGAGAATAACACAGATTAAAACATATAATTTTCCACATTTTTTATTATTATATAGAGGATATTTGTTTGTTTCAGTGTAAGATCGAAAAATATTTCACCGAGTGAACACCAGATGCAATATTTTCCACGAGTGGCGTAATATTTTCCACGAGTGGCGTAGCCACGAGTGAAAATATAATAGCTGGGGTTCACGAGTGAAATATTATTTGATCTTACATGTAAAACAAACAAATTTTCTGTTTATTTCATGATTTTTTAACGATTTTTACACCATTTTACTGATTTTTGCCGCGTAACGTCATGCTCTTATCTTCACGACGTCATCAAATAATGACGTCACAATGTTGAAGAAAAATATAATTCCATGATTATTTTTAGATTTTAGATGTTTTTCAGCACAACGTTCGTAAATATTTACGAACTACAGTTATCACGTACATTTTTTATTATGATTGACTACATTTCCGCTGAAAAAAAAACATTCATTAATGATAAATATTTTATTTTTACGCCAAATATAGTTCGGCTACTGTGAAATTATATTTGGTAATCATTACTGTGAAATTATCAGAATATAATTAACCGTTATAATTCAGTAATCTACTGCAAAACATGTAATAAAATTGAAGAATAAAGTATCTCCGTGCATTAATGTAGCTATTGAGAACAACCTAACTTAACGAAACATTGACAATTCTCTTACGATTTAACTACTTAATGAAATTGGTAAATATCAAGAAATAAACAGTTAACTGTTATAAATTCATTCATTAAAAGATTTTAAATGAGTCAATCTTTACCTTAAATTTTCCTCCCTTAAAACGTTGATCATTGATTCGTCTGTTAAGTCTAATTCTGCTCTAATCTTGACACTAAAATAAAACGCTGCATGACATTAAGTAACTGCTCTTGTGTTTGTAAATGACAAAATGAATGTAAGATACAATTATTATTTTGCAATAAATCCTTAAGACTTGTAAAATATTGTTGCATTTTAGAAAATCTGTAGAAAAATGATACAAATCACTATTATTGGTCAAGTTTTGCAATTGTTTACGAATAAAAAGCAACCAAATGGAATGTTAGATATCTTCTATATTTTAGGCTATTTTATGGATACGTAAAGAAGTTGTTTTTGTGGTTTTATTTCCGTCTAATAGTATAAAATCATAATATAAGCATTTAGACTAAAAAGTAAAAAAGAAAAATGCAACATTTCTCGTGACAATAAATAAATATTTATAATACGTACGGGTCTAGGTTATTACGATATATAACTATCCTTTCCTTCAATTTGTCTATCTCATTTTGTAGCTCCTCTGTGTCCTTTTCTCTTGGGTTCCTTTTACTGGATGGTGAACTTGTAAAGATAATCATGATTTTAGTAAGTGAAAATTTAACTATAATGATAAACGTTTTGATACTTTATTGATTTATAAGCATCATTTTCAAACATTTTTTCAATTGCATGTATTATGTTTTTAGATATTAGATACTAAACAGCTTTCATGACCATTAGAAAGGAATACAGTCTTTTATTTGATTCAGGATTTTTATCATTATGATATTATTGTTACTCAGTTTTCTTTCTCTATTCAATTTGTCATTATATTTGTGTCCATACATAAATACCTAATAACAATAAAGTATTGTTGTACATCAACAATGCTACCTCAGAACTTATTACTTCAAGGTGTTTGTTCTAATTTCAAACATTATGCTGGTAATAATTAGCTGAATGTTAGATTCATATATTAATCTGGTACCTGCTATTTTCAAAATATAATACAAATAAAAACCTACACAGTAAATAATTTGAAATTTGACGAGATCATCCAGTATACTGCTGAGAAATTAGATAAACTTTCAAAAGAGACCCTACATTGGGTATACAACTAGACTCTCACTATAAATAGAGGATCATTTGACACAATTACTTCTGTTTTGTCAATAGATCAGTTTCCTTTTATGCACTCAGTATGATAATAATAAAAGAAGTTAATTAAACAGAACTGTATGTGACTTAACAAAATAAAATTTACCTTAAACAAGCTAAAATTAAACTTAATGTATATACTGTGCTATTATTTTCAAATTAATGATTTAGCCATGGTCATATGCAAATAGAATAATGATTAAAGAAGTTTGGATTAAAGTACCCAAAAGTCAAATAAGTGTTTCTCTATCATACATTAACCATAACGTTTTATATTCAGTTAGATTTTCTGAGCCATGATCATATTACAGGTAGTTTCATATTAAAAAAGAAATCTAATGACAGAGTGTTACACTTTCATTTACTTTTAAATTGAAAATTGTAGGGTCGAATGAAAATAAATTTTTTTATGTTTTCTGATGTGATTTTTATTATATTTTGCAAAACTTGACCTTATGATGTTATATGTATGGGTATCATTATGTATAGTCGTACATTTTGAAATTAATGAAATGAAAAATATGTATGTATCATAATTAATATTAAAAACTGCAAGAAATGAAACACAAGATTTATAAACTCATGTTTCAAATAATTTAAAGAAATATTAAAAATCAGTTTATGAAAACTACAAAAAAGGTCTATTTGATGTACGAACTTGCAACAATGTGGTCACAATTCCGTTGTATTACCACAAGGCCATCGAGCAGTTTTTATTGATTTAATTAATATAGAGATCCATACTATTATTAAAACCCTAAGCATAAATCGTAATAAATCACGGAGACCTACGACCATCCCACCCGAACGTTAATGAGTCACATGTCAATATTGTCAAATAATACCTACAAAAAGCCCGAATTCCCTTTCCTTTTATTATCTGTTTAGTGTTTACATCAATATTGGCAAATAGGGGTGTCGATAATTTCTATACATGTATAAAAGTGTATCATTTATCGCCCAATTGTTTTACCACCAAATCAATCACTCATTATTTATGCGTCGTAATGGTAGAGTGTTCGCTCTGTTAGTGTAGATACCCTGGTTGGAATCCTTGATAAGCCATTATTTCTTTTCTTTTTTGTTTTTAGGGGGGGGGGTATTTAAACAAAACGAACTGGATTTTGGTTCTGCGTGAATTTATTCACACAATGCTAATTGAGAACATTTTGTTGTACACACATTCGCATTCAACATGTTAGTATAATACAACACAGTCTTGATTAGGGTGATAAATGAGCAATGGAAGAAAGAATATAATTATATAATAAACAAATTAGCCAAATGTTGTTTTCAATGTTGCGAATGGAATTCAGAGTTTCAAACAGAGTAAAATTAATAATACTATCTAATCTGTTCAATGACAGTTGAATCAAAATGAAATACATTCAATTGCTTTAATGCTTAACCGTCATAAGTTTATCTTTACATTGTGCAAAACATTATAAAAGAGAAATTGATAAGTTACGTGACACACTATGTATATTCTAAAAATAAATCCCATACTTAAAAATGTGCACAATTGCAGATTTGCACCAGAAAAAACAAACTGTTCATAACCTGAGATCTTCATAACCTGACCTCTCTAACCACTACGCTACTCTGATCTGCGTTGTCTATATCCACTTTCTATATTGCATGTAATCATAAAAGAACTTCAACAACCCCATTATATCAAAATGGTACGATCGAGTAATGCAAACGTTATCGTGTTCGATTATAATTCTCCTAAAAATCGTTATATAGGTTTAAACTACCGATTTGGGAGTAAATATTGTGTCGTTAAACAATCTCAACCGGAGTCGCTACAGACATACCTTTTGGCAATTGTAATGAAATATACTTCGCTAGGGATATAATAGGGTGACAAACAAGGAGTCATTAAGACGGTCTCAACTGTACTATAAACGTTTTTAAAAAGAAATAAAATATTTTTTTTTGGATTCTGTCATTTATTAGCTGAATATTATTATTTGTTTCTGAGTTATTATCAATAGCACAAATATTTTTTCATAAGTTATGATTTTACAGACTATTTAGAATTCTCTTATTTCTTATAAAGAACCCTTCTATCATCTAATAATTTATTCAGAAAAATGTCCTAACTCATAAAACGTACGGTAAAGAATT